TCATTCTCACGGCAGTAAAAAAAGTAGGCACGATGAAAAGCTGTAATGGAATGATGCTACCCATTTCCCCCCAGGGCTCAAACCTACCTTTTATCTTCCAGTCTAAAGCTTTACTGCACCCAATAGATGGCTGTTCAGTTCAAAAGATGAATTTAGACAGCAACTGGAATCCATTGGTGTTGCAGTAATTACAGTACCTCTTATGTGTCTGCCTTTCATACTAAAATGTCAAAATCCTGATTGGAAAATTATTGAATTGTGCTTTGTTCATTAAACTAGAGTTTCTGACAGTCAGATGAAAGCCTCCTAAAGTCATTCTGAAATTGATTTTTCTAGTAGTTAAAATATTTCCAGATAGGTAGTAGTATAAAAAAATAAAACCTAATTGTAGGAGTGTGCATAATAATGTTGCCCTGACCTGGATAGGCCAGGCTAGGCCAATCTTGTCAGATCTTGGAAGTTAAGCAGGGTCAGCCCTGGTTAGTAGTTGGATGGGAGACCACCAAGGAATACCAAGGTTGCAACGCAGAGGCAGGCAATGGCAAACCACCTCTGAACCTCTCTTGCCTTGAAAACCTGTCGGGTCACCATGAATCAGTATCTCAGACTTCTTTGGAATGGTAGAGTTGCAAGACAGGGGTTCATCAGCCCCACAAGAGATGTGCTTTTGAAATGGTAGACCTGAGAGTCTATTAATATCTTAAAAACCACATTCAAAAGTGTGACAGAAATGAACAACATATCTTATAGGTAGAGTCATGAGGAAGAAAGAGGTACTAAAAGTATACCCCGATTTTCAAAAGGTAGACATATGGGCTGCGGTCACACACACTAAATAATCCATTTTCAGTGCACTTTCCAATTGGATTTTATGGTGTGCACAGTTGGAAAGTGCATGGAAAGTGGATTATTTAGTGTGTGTGACCACAGCCATGGAGAAATGGATGGTACCATGTGTCAATAAGACATCAAGAAGTTGGATGGGAATATATATATATGACCTTGCTGAAAATGACTAGACCTGTGTGACAAAAATAGCACTTGAATAGCAGTTTCACAAATTAAGGCACATTAGCTAAAGTATTATAATGCTTCAGAACTGTATTCATTGTGAAATCTAGGCAAATTGACCAACCAGTCTGAAATATGGCTAATTGGTAGAATCCAGTCAAATTTCAGAAAAAAATACAATTAAAACGAGTGAGTTAAAGATTTTGTTAAAAATGTCTTCATCTTGCAGCATCTCAGGTTTGAAAAATCAGGTTTTGTACACTCAGAACATGTTTAAAATTTCCTTTTTAAAGCTGAAATTACATCAGTTTTCACAAATACACACAATCTGACCTGTCAAGGGCTGGGGGGCAGTGTTCCCTCTAAGCTGAGTTAGTGTGAGCTAGCTCACAGTTTTTTAGCCTCTGGCTCACACATTTCTGTCTTAGCTCAGGAAGGATGGCTCCAGAGCAAACTCATTTATGCAGTAGCCAAATTACCTGCTCACAACTTTAATGCCTGTAGCTCACAAAGTAGAATTTTTGCTCACAAGACTCCATAGCTTAGAGGGAACATTGGTGGGGGGTGGGAGTATCCATCTGTTATCCATCTTTTCCCCCTTTATATAATAGAATAGTGGGGCTGGCTTCAATTGTAAAACTGTAAGGTGGTCAAAAGGTAAGAACCCCCCCCCTCCTGCTTATACAATTCCAATCCTAACCATGCCCCTGCACAGCCATCATTCATCTTAGTAAGATATGGGGAATGCCTGCTTATGTTTCTCCCAGTTCCTTGCCTTTCTTGACCCTCCGTTACCATTTTAAAAATGCCAAGAATATTGGAATGTTCAATCTTGGGAGTGTAATTTGCTTAAATGCCTATACTAATAGCTTTGCTCCATGTCTGTAGCTAATTTTAGAAATGCAAATAGTATCGCAAACAGCAAAGTCTTGAACACAACAGGGGGCTTGTAAATCAAGCCAAACTGTTATGTAGAAAATATCCACATTATTTGCCAACCACTGAAGACATTGCTGAGAAGCTTTGAATCAAAGGGAAAATATGACAGAAAGAAAACAAGCTACAGGTTGAAGATGCTGAGGCAAATGCACATTGCTGCATATGGTATATCATTACCATTCTAAATTTAATGAAGTTTTAAAGCCTTACATTTCACATCACAGTTGGTCCTGATATGCATTTTACTGTTATTGCTGTTCATTTGCCAAGTGAAGATAATTGATAGTCTTTGCTTAGTGGATTTCCACATTTCAGCCGCCTTTAACTACAACGTCTATTCATGTTCTGTACATCCTTGTGCTTTTAGTTATGCAAATGGTACAATAGGTCAAATAATTTTGTGTTGGGCTTGAAACATCAATTGTCAAAGGCTGGAAGCAAACCATCTTTTTTGCCGTATTAATTGCTTGTCCTGCTGTATTTCCTTTGATATCAGCGTATCCCCTTTGGTACACAAGTGCTCTTTCACCAGGTAGGGAAGCCCTACATAAACTGATTCAAGATAAAGAATAATATGAGTTACTATTAATTATTTGCTTCATTTGTACAAGAATAATATGAGTTACTATTAATTATTAATTATTTGCTTCATTTGTACCCCGCCCCTCTCCCCAATGGGAACCCAAGGTGGCTTACATCATTCTCCTCTCCTCCATTTTATCTTCACAACAACCCTGTGAGGTGGGTTAGGCTGAAACAGTGTGACTGGCTGAAGGTCAACCAGTGAGCTTCTATGGCATGAGGGGGGATTCAAACCCGGGTCTCCCAAATACTGATCTGACACTCTTAGCCATTATACCACACTCGTGCTCTCACACCTGCCACTTGTTACTAGTTATATTTATACTAATCGATGACTGATTTATTTACAATGTTTCCATATCAGCCTTTCTCCCAATAAAGTCCAGATCAAAGGATGGGGACAACAAAAGTGCAATACAATTAAATGAATAACTAAAAACAGGTAATGAATCAGAAAATTACACATTCAGGCTGCCCCATAAGCTCCTCTAAATAGGTCTGTCTCACAGCTTCTCTGGAAGACCCAAAGGCAAGTGCCTGCCTTAGCAGCATTAGAGAAGAGCCAAGACCTGGGCTACTGAGGCGGCAGCAGGGCAGCATTAGAAAAGGGCCAAGGCCTGGGCCACTTGAAGACCATGTTGTCAAGAGCAAGGGGACTAACAGGAGACCCTGTAGTGTGGCGTGTTCTCCATTCCAGCAGCCAGCGGAGGAAGGCTGCTTAGAAGATGGTTGGCTCCACCCCAGTAATTTAAAAACAGGAGAAGCATCCTAAACATTGCAATCATGAGAAAAGGCAAATCAGTACATTGTTAAGCATCAGGAAGGAAAGCTAGAATAAAACTGTGCACGAGCAGTAGTGCCATACAAGGCTAAGTCCCTTCTGCCACTGCCAGCACCCCAAATTAAGGCTTTGGGATGGAGGCCCAATATACATTAGCTATTTGATCTTCCATTTTTATGTTTCAGGGTCTCTCTGTATAGTACATCCTCGTGCCTTAATCAGTTCTCTGTGACCGTTAATTAGTCACATCTCACCCTCGAATGAAATTTTATATTTTTTGGCAACAGGTTTTGTGCACTTGGAAGTACATTAATGGCAGATTGAAGCTACCTGGTGTGATGGTTATCTAATGAGAGAGTGATGAGGAATCTAAGAATTGCTACGGCACACCACAATTCATAAATGGAAAAGAAGACTATATGGTTTAACGTCCTGAAAAATATTCCTCTGTATGACCCAAGATTGATTTCCTAGAGAAGTTATCATTCTCCTCATCAATGACAGAGAGACCCAGTAGTGTGGCTTGAGTGTTAAACTAGGAAAATCTGAGTTCAAGTCCTCACTTTAACCTTGAAGCTCACTGGGTGACTTTGGACCAGTCAACCTTTCTCAGCCTAACCTGCCGTGCAGAGCTGTTGTGAGGATAAAAATGACAAGTTTTTGTCTTGTTCCCCACACATTTTAGCGTCTACATGAAACTGCTGGATGAGGCCATTCATAAAATTGGGCCGGGTCGTCTACAATATGTAGAGGATACTCAGCTCAATCTGGTGCTTCCAGCAGATCCCCGGGAGGCTGTGGAAACCTTGGACTAATGCCTGGACTCGTTTGGGATGAGGGCTAATAAATGTAACCACAAGAAGATAGAGGTGCTGTCAGTGGCCAGAAGGACTGACCCGGAAATATGATGGCTCCTGTTTTGGATGGGGCTGCACTCCAACTAAAGGAGAACGTTTGCACCTTGGGGGAACTGGTGGAACTTGGCCTCCTGGTGGTGTGCCAGTTGCTGCCTTTCTTGGGTAAACAAGTGGTTCATGCCCTGTTAACATATAGATTACTGGCTCCCTTTGAAGAACGTCCAGAAATACAGCTGGCACAGAATATAGCAGCTAGCATGCTGACTGGAGGAGGTTATATGGACCATATCACTCCAGTCTTCGCTCCCAATTTGCTTCCAGGCCCAATTCAAGGGGCTGGTATTGACCTTTAAAGCCCTATATGCCTTGGGGCCAGCATACCTAAAGGATTTCCTACTCAAGTATGAATCTACCCAAACATTCCAGTCATCTTCAGAGGCTCCACTTCACATGCCCCTGTTATCTGAGCAGGGTTGCCAACCTCCAGGTGGGGTCTGGAGTTATCCCAGAAATAGAACTCATCTCCAGACGACAGAGATCAGCTCCTCTAGAAGAAATGGAATCTTCAGAGGGTAAACTCTATGGTGTTAGCCAAATTGTAACGATATGAGCTTATGTTTGTATTTCTGTATAGTGGTGATGCTGCTTATGTGTGTCTCTAGCATGAATACCTATGCAATATGTATTCAGGGATTGCTGTTTGGTTGTGTTGCTTTGTTCTGCATCTCATGCTTGCCTAGAAATAGGCTGGCCTGGGCCTGCCGTTGCACATACGGACCATGTGCGTCCCTGGAATGTATCCCATGACTCTGTGGGATGCGGTCGGGCCCTTCTGTCACGCGGCATGCTCCGGAGTGGCCTTGGCTCAGTCCTCGCGGCTCCGCCCCGCCTGCGCCGTCCACGCTTGCGTGTCGTCCTGGCTCTGCATAAGCATACAATAATTCAAACACACTCGCAATTACACAGATCTAGGAAAATTAGAGAGAGGACAGCATATTCGCATTAGCAGGATGATCGTTGAGGGGCAATACTTTACTTGTCCGTGGCGGGATGAAACGATCCTTGGGAAAAATAAAGGAGACTATAGGGTAATGGGGTCATGCCCTGAACCGGCAGAGGCATGTGGAGACTCTGGCTGCGCAAACTGAGAATCGTGGAGTTAGGGTGGGTATAGGAGGAAGGGAGAGAAGAGAGAGAGAGCCCGAGCATGGCGGGTTCCCCACTTTTATGAGGGGGCATGGGGTGGCGGGTTGCCCGCTTTTATGAGGTGGCACACCTCCTGTTAGTCTGTCCTCAAAAACATGTTGATTGGACCTGGGTTCAAGGGGAAGGGGGTGGTTAATGTTGAACTCTAGTAACTCTGGTCAGGGTAGTGGCACCTGAAGGGATTATGATGACTCATGCGGCCAGAGTCATTGTCATTGATATTAATGGCTGCTGCTTTGGCTAGGTGAGGCTGAGTGGGGGAAGGGGAATGTTGCCTAAGTGTGCAGGAAGAAATTCCACATGGAGTTTGAATCCTTTGTCCTTGGGTCTTCTGCCTTGGCATGGCATCTGCCTGGCTTTCAGTGCTTCATGTGGTTAGGGAGCTGGTCCATCTTACAGCAGGTAAACAGGTAGGTAACCTCTGAAACCATTGGCACATTATCTCACAGGAAGGCTTCCTTCTTTTGTGTCTGTGCGTCTGTAACTGGCATCATCTTTGGGTCACCACACAATTCAGTCCCTTTTACCCACACTCGCATAGTCCACGTTTTAAGTCCATAACAGCTCTACAAGCGCCTTGCATGGCAACAATGGTGAACTATAGATTCTACGTGAAATCCCTCCCCAAATTCCCCCCTTCACAGGGCCTCCAGTCTCTAGGAATCTCTCAGGCCAGAACTGGAAACCCTAGCACAGGTGGCAACTCATCTTCTCAGTTGGGGCAGGAAATATGTACAATTCTCTCCCTAGGGAGATTTGTCTGTGTCATTCTATCATTGATGAGTTTTAAAAGTTGATGAGAGTGGGTACTGATTATCATGTTTTTTTAACTGCTTGCCACCTTGATGGCCCTAATTGGGTGTAAAGCCAGGAAACAAATGTTTTAAACAAACAAATTGGGAAAAGTGAATCATATTATGTGCATACTTCTCAGGGTTCTTAAGAGACAGGATGGGATAGTTACTTCAGTCTCCATTTGCTCTGGACTCCAGCAATGACCTGGAATGAAGGCGAAGATCTTCTGATGAAAGAGAATTTCCAGTCTTGCAGCCAGAGAGATCCTGTGATGGTTCTCATTAAACATTTTAACAAAAATTGAACAAATATTGAGCAATTCCTGGTGTCTCCATGCTGTCTCCAGTCACTTTCTTAAATGATTGGCATTAGATGTACAAAGTTAAGTCTCCTTATTTCAGAAGGGCAGTTTCAGACAGCAAAAGCAAAAATTGTGCTGGAAAAAACACCATGCAGTTAACTGCCAGCTTGCACAGGGAATGTCTGTTACAATTGTGCCCCAATCTGGTGGCACTATTTGTTGAATAACTTAGATGGAGACTGTTTCAAAAAGTAAAATCACATACAGTAAAACCACTTGTATTTTACCTTTCCAGATGAATTCTAGGCAATATGAATACTTAAGGTTGCAAGATTTGCAGTATAACTCCAAAAACACTTTCCTGGGAATAAGCTCCATTGAATAGACATTGAATAGTCCCTGTTGATAACACCCCAAGATGACATTGAATAGTCCATTTGGAGGTCACAGTTGTTCACCTGAACTATGAAGAAACAGCACGTGATGATGATGATGATGATGATGATGATGATGATATGTTGTTGACTGAAGGTATTTCTTCAGATGATGTACTGACCTTCCTATTGTTTAGCCATGTAGATATATCCAACACAAAGCAACCAAGGTATTTTACAATGGTGCTATCCTAGATTATAGAAGTGACATGACAGGAATGAAATATAGGACCTAAGTCCTGTAAGATTCAAGAAGACCTAAGAACCATGTGCAGAAACTATCTAAACTTTATAGAGTCATTAATGAATCTATAAATCTGTCGTCTTACTATAAATCAGAACTATTTGATGGGCTAATTTAGCTTCACACTTGTTAAATGAGCCATGGTAACAATAAATATCTGAAAGCAGGTCTGGGAAATTAAATGTCTGAGTTGTTGTTTTTACAAGCTGGATCCAAAGCTTCTTTTCATAACTGTTTCCTTTACACAGAAAGGTGACTAATCAATTCAATGTTTACATGACGAAACAGTAATTCATATAACCATTATTTAGTAGGGCTAGAAAGCATTAGAAAAATGAAGGACATGGAAACTGGCAGTCTTACAACAGGGGTGGTGAAACTTATAAAGCTGCCTTATATTGAATCAGAACCTGAATCCATTAAAGTCAGTATTGTCTACTCTGACTGGCAGCAGCTCCCCAGTGTTTCAGGTAGAGGTATTTTCCATCACCTACTCCCTGGTCCTCTTAACTAGAAATGCCCGGGATTGAATTTGGGACCTTCTGCATACCAAGCATATATTCTACCACTAAGCCACAGCCATTCCCCAACTCACGGAGTGTCTTTATCATGAAAAATTATGTGGAGTATGCCACTTATGACAACTACGGTACTCTATGAGCAAACCAAGCCCTTGGCAGATTAAAGGAAGGACAATGCAACACGATCACAATCTTTCCTATGAATCTAGTCTTAGAGAAAGTGATATTCCAATCCACCTAAAGTGTCTGTAATGCAAGGCCAAAACTGTTATGAACTACACTAAAGCTGCTCTGGGTAACATTGAACAAATATTAATTTAGAGTTAGGTAATAATGTAAAACTGTAATGTTCAGAAAGCTACTGAGAGCTTTGTCATGCCTTAATGGAATATTTTCCTTGATATCAGTTGGATAAGGATGGTAAAAGTTTTTTTAAATTTAGAGATAATATTGGTATTAACTCAATCAGTGTTCCCGCTAAGCTGAGTTAGTGTGAGCTAGCTCACAGTTTTGTAGCCTCCGGCTCACACATTTTTGCCGTAGCTCAGGAAGGATGACTCCAGAGCAAACTAATTTATGCAGTTGCCAAATCGCTCGCTCACAACTTTAATGCCAGTAGCTCATAAAGTAGAATTTTTGCTCACAAGACTCCACAGCTTAGAGGGAACATTGAACTCAATGTATTAGCTATATTAACAAATCAGCATATCCTTGGGAAAAGATGCTTACTTTCCTGCTCCTTTGTGCGTAGTTCAATAGCCAACAATTTACAGCAGAACGGGTTGTCATTGTGTCTAAACTGTGAATTGTATGAAGGGTGGGGTGGGAGTTGGTTATCAAATAATTTACAAACCAGTATTAAATCATGAATCACACAAGTCCAAAGACTTCTAAAGCTTTTTTTCTTAAAAGATAAGCCATGGTTTGCCATTATGTCTGGATATATCATATTCATTGAGTATGCCATATCCATGTTAACCTTTCTTAAAAAATTACCTGCCTCATACAAACATTTTTATGTGGAAAAGTCACCACAAAGGTAATAGGGCTTTCACAAAAAGAATAGGACTAAGATCTATACCACTGTGTACAGTATGTATTATCTGTTTGCTGTATGTATTATCCTGTTCTCACTGCTTTGCTTTTATACTTATATAATGACATGTTCTAAACTGTTCAATATATGTCTAATACTTTATGCTTTGTAGTCCTATTGCATTGCTTATTCAATGTCTTATCCTATTGATTGCATTTATACACACACACACACACACACACAAAATAAAAAATAAATCCATAACTCCTTTTCAAAGCCAAACATCAGTGCTTTAAAAAGCTTATTTGTGCTTCAGTGTGGAAAGCTGATGAAGATATACACACATTATCACTTGCATTACTCACCCTATTGGAGTGCAACCAACCTATCCTGACTGGACGCTATAAATCTATTGCAAGCGCTTCAAACTTGAGGATTCTCTGCTTTTTTTCACGTCAGAGCTCTGATCATAGGAACAGTATCCCTGGAACTATGCATATATGTAGTTCATATACAAGTTGCCATGTCATGCCTTTACTGAAAGCAATTTGGAAAATGGTTCCAGGGGAAAAAAATCATCTATGAAGGTATTAATTCTTGGGAAATCACAGAGAAGCTGTCAAACACATTTCAGTAAGCAGTAAATGAACCTTGCTTGCACCATAAATCATTAATGTTTAATCACCAGCCAATGCCTCAATAAGCTCACTGGCATGGAAAATCACAGATACTCAAAGGATAATTCTAGCAAATCTGGCATGCATGGCTAACTTGTGTGCTTAATTACTGTTTATGCACCAGTAGTATCCAAGCATTTGTATGTAATAAATAGAACACTGTCATAGTGTCCAGATGGTTTTAGATTCAAGGCCCAGGGAGTATGTTAGGAGATTATAGGCCTGATTTACCAACAGTTCACACCAGCTTGACTCCTGAAAAATCAAATAACTAAAATAAAATACAGAGAATATAACAATGAGGGGGAAAACATGTTGATGATTATTTTAAAAATACCTTAAACTTAGGCACCAGGTAACAGTAGTTGTGAGTGATGTTCAGCTGAATATAAGGGGGGGGGGAGATGCAGAAATCTTTTCAAAATGGATGTACACCTTCAGTCTGCAGGTGGGAGCTCATTGAACACTCATCCATATACTGTCAATCCTTTCACAGTAAACAAAACCATAGGGCTCTAGACAAGCATTCTCAATATTCCAGGAAGCAGTCTGTTGTAATTTAGAAAGATTTTCCTGACCTGAATGGTGCAGGCTGGCTTGATCATATTGGATCTTAGAAGCTAAGCAGGGTTGGCCCTGGGTATCCAAACTGGACCCAGAGAAAGGGAAATTAGCTTTATAAGGGTTCCAAAAAGGAATAATGCAGGA